ACGACATGCAAACGATGCGAATCCCGATCGACGTGGCTTATCTCAAAAAAATCCTGCTGTTGAAAACTCATTGCGAAATTTTATGCCGTGGCTAGAAAATATTGCAGTGGTTAGTAAACCTAGTCCTCCGTGTTTTAGAAATTTGATTCTAACGATTCAAGGAATTTTAGGTCTATGGGAGGAGAAGAAAAGAGAAGGACAATTTTATCTTCTCACGGGGAAACTAAACCAGGACCCGTTAGAAAATTATTTCGCTTTTATGCGTTATTTATCTGGCTGCAATACTCACCCCACGGCCATGAAGTTCAGATATAACCATCAGCACGGTACAATTATGAGCTTATTATTTCCTCCTCCTGGTGCGAATTGTAAACCGGACGATTGTATAAATTTATTATCTACTTTGTCGGAGATAAAATTGCAGAAAAACGCAGATAATATCGATCAGAAAGAAACCGACGACTACGTTGATAAAAAATTAAACGCATGGCTAATTAACGACTACGCTTACGCAGAAGTAGAGGATAGCCAAGCACCAAAGACAGATTTAGGCGATCAAGATCAACCGACTCTGTTGAGGTGCTCCATGAAGTATGTAGCTGGATATTTAGCTCATAAATGTCTCATAAAATTTCACTGCGAATCATGCCGATCGACTTTGATCCGCGAAAATCAAAACTTTGAAGCGAACGAGGATCTTCTAATATTTTGGAAGGCTTACAACGTTCCTCAAAAAGAATTGGGCAATTTGAAAGTTCCGACCGATGAGTTTTTTAATATTATAGTCGAGGCGTATACAATTATGCAGCAAGAATTTAATATACATATGCATGAATATAATCTCCGAGCAACGTTAATATCACTAATAGAGTCCGTGATTTTCGATAAATATAGTGAATTTTGGATATGCGAAGAGTGTTTTGATCATAGAAGTTTTATTATAGATCATTTCGTAAAACTTCATATATTCTATTTTTTAAAGTGGATGTCCTGCGATAACCGTGACACTAAAAATTTCAAGAGAAAATCTAACAATTCGACAGATAAGCCATGTTTGAAACTAGTAAAACTGAGCCAATGATTCTAAATAAAAGTACTTCTTTGAGCTGTTCAAAATATTTATTTATAATATTTTTGTTACTTTTAGTATTATTTATTGATTCGATATTAATAAGATATTAATAATTGGTTTAATTAAACTACAGAAAATGTTTTCCCACTCATTTGCTACATTCATTCCACCTTAATAATTATTTACATGATAAAAATGAACACGCATTGTGGATAAAATGCTCGGCCTTGTCGCTGGGCATTTAAATGCGCGCCTACAGTGATCGCAACGCCGCCTGCCTGATGGGGGATAGAACTACTGCTCAAAACTGGCTTCGCAAAATCCTACGGATCCGACCCCCTATTTGATCTATATTCTCTGCTCACGTATCCCACGCAACCGAACAAAGTACACTCCTTAAAGATGAAAGATTGGTTCATTATATCAATTATAATTTAGTTAGATTTGCAGGCTACTTTAACAATGTATGATAAATTACTAAAATTAACGAAAACCCTTTGTAAGAAATTTGAAAAATAATGTAATTATGATGATCGTCTTCAGAATTTGGCTCGAATCTTTGTTATATTATAGAATGAGCTAGGAAGCTCCAATCGAAAATTTGCGACGGTCAAAATTTATTAAAATTTGACAAGGAATTCGAAAAAAATTTTTTCAAATTTTTTTACCGGAACCTCTGGGTTCCAGGAACCGTTTTTCATAAAAATAGCGTTTTTTAGACATAGATGCTATCGCCTTCAATTAAAAAATTTGAAAAAATTCAAGATAATGTACTTTGACCTAAAAAACAAGAAAAAAATTTTTCCAGATATTTTAAAGCTTCATATCGCCCTAAAAAAATTATTTTCGTAAAAAAAGGGCGTTTTTCGGCTATAACCGCCAGAGTTCTGTCTGAAAAAAATTTGAAAAAATTTGAGGTTATGTATTTTGATGTCAAAAATAAGTGGAAAAAAAGATCGGGCTTTGTATTGCATCGTAGCGCCGTACATGAATTTTCAAAATTTTCAATAATTTTTTCTGAATAGCCTGAATATAAATCTATCACATATATAATTACAATATAATAATAATATAATAATTACAACTAGCAAATTAACAGTCATTTAACATAATAATAACTCACTCCAAGAATAGTTTCAGATAGATGAAATAGTGCTTTTTTATTTTATTATTTGGCATTGTGCTTTGACTATATTTAAATTTGGGTTAGATTGATAATGGTTTTTATGGACAGAGGTAAGAATAAGTATTGTTCTTGATTGGAACATTGAAAAGCATGATTGGATCTTTAACATAACTGGATTGAAATCAAGAGCAATACATGTTCTTTCATTTTGAACGTAAAAACCATTATGAATTTAACCCAAGGTTGAATAGTCCAAGCACAATGCTAAATAATTAAAGCACTATTTCATCTATCTGAAACTATTCTTGGAGTGAGTGCTTATTCCTAAATGACTGTTAAGCTAGTAGTAATTTAATTGATACATAATGTAAGTTTTAGGCAACACATAAACAAATCTATCAATTATTTTTAAATATAATTGAGTTTATGCAAATGGTAATTCATGCATTAGATGAGTAGGTGATTAATATAGATGAAACAGGTTGCAAGTTTAAAATGTCGACATGAGTATTATAGTACTAGAAATTAATATGAAAATAATGAAACATCCTACACAAAGATAATTAAATGAAAATTTCATTATTTTCATATTAATTTCCAGGACTATAATACTCATGTCGACATTCCAAACCATCTTGACATGTGCTTTATCTATTTTAATCACCTACTCATCCAACGCATGAATTACCACCTGTATAAACCCAATTCTACTTGAATGTAATGAATAGATTTCATTATATGAAATCTAATATCTGTGCATAAAAGTTACATTGTATATCCAATAAAATACCACTAGCTTAACAGTCATTTAGCAATAATCACTCACTCCAAGAATAGCTCAAGACAGATGAAATAGTGTTTTGATCATTCGACATGGTGCTTTGACTCTTTGACATTGTGTCAGATGATAAAATGACTTTTATGAACAGAAGTAGGAAATAGTCTTGCTCTTGCTCAGAATATTGGCCAGTTTCATGTGATCTATAAGTATAATTTAATGTAAATCAAGAGCACTACTATTTCTTACCTCTGAGCGTAAAGGCCATTTATCAATCTGTCACAATGTCAAAGAGTCATAGCAAAGAGCACTATTTCACCTGTCTTAAACAATTCTTGGAGCTAAAATATCATAATACATACAATAATCATACATACAATAATCATAATAGTTCATCAAACCACTCACTCCAAGAATAGCTTAAGACAGATGAAATAGTGTTTTGATCATTAGACATTGTGCTCTGACTATTTGGCATTGTGTTAGTTTGATAAATGGCCTTTACGCTCAGAGGTGAGAAATAGTAATGCTCTTGATTTATATTTAATGATATTTAAAAATGAAATGAAACTGACCAATATTCTATGCGAGAGCAAGACTATTTCCTACTTCTGTTCATAAAAGTCATTTTATCACCTGAAACAATGTCAAGCAGTTAAAGCACAGAGCACTATTTCACCTTTCTCATGCGATTTTTGGATCTACAATACCACTCTCAACAAATGTAGCAAACGCATGCTTCCAAGAAGCAGTAATGTTGAATATATATTCGTATTCTAATTAATTATAATTTTTAATTTCTTCATAGAGCTTGTGTTTCTTCAATTCATTCATGTTTTCTGGAAGTATCTTATACTCGTATGCTGGACTTACTGACCTGAAAGGATCTTACGTTAGTTCATGCAAATCAACTTTTAAAAAAATTCTAAAATCTAAAAAAAATTGAATAGTGAAAGTTATTTCGCTCTCTTTTATGACTTTTTACACTCTTTGATACATATTCAACGTCTCTGTTAAGTTTCATTGCTTTTGAATTCTTTTTCTTATTTTTCTGTAGCGTAGTTCATTACAATTACATGATGAGCCATTTAGAAATTATGATTGAGAATATATTTTGACGAGTAATTTCTTATTTTAAATATAAATAAGAAATTTCTTAAAACAATTGTGTCTTTTTTCTCATTTCTTTCTATGTCTCATGTCTCATACAATTATAGAAAAGTACATAGGCATTGAAGTTACAAAAAAATAAAAAAAAAAATTAAAAATTAAAAAAAAATTAAAAAACATTTTTTTGAAAAATTTAAAAAAAATAAATAAATAAATGGAAAGTGCATAGGCATTGATAATATTACAAAAAAAAAATTATATTTCTTAGAAAAGAGAATCAATTTTGAAAAATGTCAAAAAAAGATAAAAAATGAAGGGTTCATAAAAAAAAAAAAAATAGATCGATGCAGAAGTTAATTCTCTTTCTGAAACTGCAAAAAAAATTTTGAAAAATGGAAGGGTTGGTTTTTTATCATGAAAAAACCCCATAAAAAACTACTCCTTAATTTTTAAAGGGTGCGGATAAGTTTTTTGGAATCAGCAAGAAATTTCGATTCAATCTATTTTTTTTTTTTTTTTTTACGGAATTTTAGCAAGAATTTTGGGGAAAAGCAAGAATTTTCGAAAGAATTGTTGACTTCACCGCTTAATATATAAGATAGAAGGATTATGAAAAAATTTATTTCATAATTTTAAGTTGAAAGTTGCATTTTTTATGGAGGTGGCAAGCTTACCAGCCAAGTTCCAATAATCCTATAACATACCAAAATCGCGTCAAAATCGGTGACATACGCGCGCTCACGGTTTTAACCGAAGTCATACCGATGTCGAGTTACCGCAAAAGCTCAACTTACACTATCGGACGCTGAGTTTACATTTGCAAATCGCATACATTACACGATACTCTGATATATATCATATGCTAGCGACGCAACACATACAATACCAAATAAATTCGATACTCTTGATTACAGAACAGTAATAACAGCAGCAGTAGCAGTGGTGACATAGCGTAGAAGTAAGTGATACATAAGCACATCGAATCATGGCCGATGACGGCGGAGGCGGTGGCGGTGGATCAACCGGTGGTAGCTGCAGCAGCAGCGTTACCGGTGGAAGCATTGGTGGCAACAGCAGCAGCGGCGGCGAAACGAGCCGATTGCAACTGCTCCAGGAGATGCGACAGCAGAACTTCGACAGCATCAGGTTCTCGTCTTATCGCACTGCCTGCAAGCTGCGTTTCATTCAGAAGAAAGTCAATCGTAAGTCGATCGCTGAAATGCGCCTATGCGTCGATTTTAAATAGGCTATTCCACACCAAGTGTAGCAGCCCAAAAATTAATCTATGCCCTGATATTGTATACTCATAGAGCGCACAAAGGTGCATATTCACTAAGCAAGAGATTTCTGGGTCTCTTCGATTGACCTCCTCATAGGTTCAACGATGAACTTAAGATATTTATTTATTCCTCCAAAAGCCACTCGTCACTCTGAAATAATAAGTAAACATAGGTTTTTTAGTAAAAAAAACCGTGCAAAATTGAAATTTGTATGTTAGAAGTCAATACGTTTACTCTAAACTCAATAAATATGAAAAAAGTTACTAAAAGTCCTAAAATAACTATGTTTGTATATATCAATTTGTCTTAAAACGAATAATTTTCTTTCTGATACCAAAACATAACTCTCATAAAAACGTTATTACTGAATCTCTTTCAGAATACCAAAATTTCTACTAAAGCAAGAAATCAGATGAATAAAGCCTTTTTTCTCATACAAATATCATGAAACCATATCTGAAACGCAACTTTGGTGGAATTTTCTACTTTCTTATACTTGAATAGGTAAGTACCCTTCATCTGCTTAGTCATAATAAAACATCAAGTAGTATGTTCATTAGACTGGAAGCAAAAAAAAAAAAATTTTTTCATTTCGCCCGGACCAAACGGAAAAGTGATCTATGTACCAAAAAAATAGTCTGTGCAAAATTTTAGCTCATATAAATTGAGATAACCCGTGTCGCCAGTCGCTTGAAGGTTTTTAAATTCGATTTAAATTAATTTTTACCGCTTCTTTACAGCGATATTCAAATGGCTCTGTAGCCGTCAATTTTCAAGCAAATAAAACTTCGAACCCGTCAAATTAAAGGTCTTAAAAAGACCTTCAATTTGCTTTTTTCAAAATTTTGATTGCTTCAAAATTAACTGCTGTAGAGCCGTTTGAATATTGCTAAAAAATAGAAAAAAATCGAAATTTTTCTAGTTTTCTAATAGCTGAAGTTCACTCGGAGAAACACCAATTTTTCCTAAACTTCGGGGTATTCTTTCGTGTGTAATAAGCTAAAAAATGACTCAAGTTTCGACCAGAATATTGCATCCTAGCTCCGTATAGCGGCATTTTAAATATTAAATTTTTTCGTATTTTTTTTTCTTTCATCCGTCTAATGATTACACGCTTTTTATTATGAGAACATTCACAAAATACTGAAACATTTTTCCAAATACTACTGATGATTGAAAGCATCTGAAGACCTATCTTTCAAGCCCCCTAACGAGCTTATAGGTGTCTCGGAGTTAAATCTACAGCCAAATTACAATATAATCATTAACGAAGTTGAAAAAGAGAATCGCGATTTCAAGCTTAACTATACTAAAGTGTCCTTTAATCCCCAAAAAAATTTGAAAACAACATTTTCGACGTATTTTTCGACGAGAAAACCAATGGTGACCTTGGATTTGACCTTGAACATAACCTCTAAGCTACAGCGAACCAAAATTGATTTTTCGTTTGGTGACCCCCATTTTTTATTGCAGATTTGAAAAGAGCGGAAAATTTTACGTTCATTTACATACATTGTTCATATGTTTGTAAGCAGTCTATTCTAACTTATAAGCCAAAGTCGAGTTGCACGTATTACTTATACATATTATAAGTAGTGTTATAAAACATTAAACTGAATTACCTGAATGAAATTGGTGGACATCAGTGTTGTCAGTTCAATCAAACAATTACTAAAGTAGATCTTGAAATGTATTTTGGTAATCAACTGACTAAGATACACAACGCATTAATGATAATATAAGTAATAACTTCAACATTGTTTAACTGGTCTGGAAAAGCACACATTGAGACACAAAGAAACAATAAATGAACTCTTCATAAAGGCTTGAATTGCCATATCACATTTTAATTACATGAACACTACACATAACCCAGTCGCTCAAGTGAAATCTTGTACACATTTGTTTGTTGTATGAGTGGAACAAATTCTTCCACTCATCACTTATCACCTCACAAATGCACATAAAAATAATTTTTTTAAAACAAATATTTACTAAGTAATAACTAGATATCACATCCCTGTCACAGTGACAACCAAATGCTTAGTGTATAAATCTCTATGTAAACATGCAGACAGTTTTAGTACTACAGAGCTGTCATCATATGCTGAGAAGCTAGTACTTAACCTGTTTGGATATTTACATAGAAATATCTAGTCATCCAGAAAGCATTCGGCTGTCACTGTGACATCTAGTCATTACTTAGTAAGTATTTGTTTTGAAAAAATGATTTTCATGTGCATTTGTGAGGCGATAAATGATGAGTGGAACAAATGTGTACAAGATGTCACTTGAGCGACTGGGTTATGTGTATTGTTCATGCAATTAAAATGTGATATGGCAATTCAAGCCTTTATGAAGAGTTCATTTATTGTTTCTATATGTCTCACTGTGTGCTTTTCCAGACCAGTTAAACAGTGATGAAGTTATAACTTATAATTATCATTAATGAGTTGTGTATCTTAGTCAGTTGATTACCAAAATACATTTCAAGATCTACTTTGGTAATTGTTTGATTGAACTGACAACACTGATGTCCACCAATTTCATTCAGGTAATTCAGTTTAATGTTTTATAACACTACTTATAATATGTATAAGTAATATGTGCAACTCGACTTTGGCTTATAAGTTAGAATAGACTGCTTACATACATATGAACATACTACTTGATGTTTTATTATGACCAAGCAGATGAAGGGTATTTACTTATTCAAGTATAATAAAGTAAAAAATTTTACCAAAGTTTCGTTTCAGATATGGTTTCATGATATTTGTATGAAAAAAAAAGACTTTATTCATTTGATTTCTTGCTTTAGTGGAAATTTTGGTATTCTGATAGAGATTCAGTAATAACGTTTTTATGGGAGTTATGTTTTGGTATCAGAAAGAAAATTATTCATTCTAAAACAAATTGATATATACAAACATAGTTATTTTAGGACTTTTAGTAACTTTTTTATATTAAATGAGTTTAGAGTAAACGTATTGACTTCTAACATACAAATTTTAATTTTTCACAGCTTTTTTTACCAAAAAACCTATGTTTACTTATTATTTCAGAGTAACGAGTGGCTTTTGGAGGAATAAATAAATTTCTCAATTTCATCGTTGAACCTATGAGGAGGTCAATCGAAGAGACCCAGAAGTCTCTTGCTTGGTGAATATTCACCTTTTTGTGTGCTCTATGAGCATCCAATATCAGGGCATAGTTCTATTTTCTGCTTGCAGCGCCTGTTGTAGGATAGCCTAAATACTAAATTCTTACTTTTGTTTCGAATCGTTCGCAGTGCACAACGTGGACATCTGGAACGTGATCGAGGCTTTCCGCGAGAACAGCCTGAACACGCTGGAACCATCGAGCACGCTGAGCGTATCGCGGCTCGAGACCCTTCTCTCGTCCCTGTTCCACGCGCTGAACAAGCGAGTGCCGATCTCGCTGCAGGTCAGAGTCGACGCCACGACCGCTCTTCTCATGAATTGGCTCTTGGCCGCCTACACGAATGGGTAAGGAGTAATGCTACCTATTCAAGTATTTAAACGATTTTTTTAAACCTTATTGGTTATTTACAACTCATCCTCAGCGAGAACAGCAAGATCACAGTATTCTCGGTCAAAGTCGCCTTGGCGACCTTATGCGCTGGTAAACTCATGGACAAATTCCGATGTGAGTCGTCGGCCTCTTACAAAACTCAATGCGTGCGAATAACTTTGTACTAATCTTCCATTTTTATTTCAGATATTTTCTCGCAAATCTCAGACAGCAACGGGCACATGATCCATTGGAGATTCGCCGATTACCTGCAAGAAGTTTTGGCCCTGCCCGCTGCCCTCTACGAGTCTCCGTCGTTCGGCTACTCCGACGGTTTGGCCACTCTCATATTTCCACCGGCAAGTAGCATTTTTTATATGCGTTTCGTCTTCGAAACGTCTTTTTTTCGATCGTCGATTTTCTAACGTTATTTTACCAACAGAACGCCAAAGTAACGGTGAACGACTTTTTGGACACACTCATGTCCGAGCCCGGTCCGCACTGTCTCATCTGGCTGCCGCTGTACCACAGATTAGCGACGGTCGAGTCGGTCACCCATCCGATAGCCTGCGACGCCTGCCACAAGGAAAACTTCACGGGCTTCCGGTACAGGTGTCAGAAATGCCACTCCTATCAGCTCTGCCAGGACTGCTTCTGGCGAGGTAAAGTCTCCGGCTCGCACACGAACGAACACGAGACCAGAGAGTACAGCAGTTTCGTAAGTACAGCTTCGCGGTTGAATCGAAATTTGTCGACGAATACGCGATGAAATGAAAAAATTGTTTCAAACAGAAATCTCCGAGCAAGCAAATAGGCCACTCGCTGAGAAAAAGCTTCCGATGCGTGCCGGATAAGGGAAAGAATTCGATTCCGAAATTTCCTGAGCAGCCGGAAAAAACTTTGGACTTGTCGCATATTGTGTAAGTTACTACTCGATGATGCAAACATCCGCCAATATGCTAAATTTTCAGTACATTAACATTTTACTTCTCTCAAAACCGTAGACCTCCGTCTCCTCTGCCATCTCACAACGGGTTCCCCGATCAGGGATACATGGGACCTTTCGATTCCGGTTCGCTAGATAGTCGATCAACTTTGAGAAGGTACGAATTTCGAATCGCCTATATTATTATTTACCTATCAATATCTGCAATAATGTTGTTTTTTTTCTCAACAGCATGGATAGTACAAGACTTGACGACGAACACAAATTAATCGCAATGTATGCACAACGTTTGTCTCAGGAAGCGAGAACTGTGGTGAGCTCTGAATTTCTACTTGAATTTACAAAATCTTTTGTAAAAAAAATACGAAGGGAAATATTTTATTGAATATTTATATAAAACTCACATTATTTTTCGACAGCCTCGAGCCTCGTCCAGACTATCACAAAGCGACCAATCGGTGAGTGCACTACATACTATTGAATTAATTTTTTCACAAAACCAAGTCACTAATAACATCGTCGTATATTCGATCCACAGAGCCGCGCACCGTCTGACGCGAATCTGGCATCTCTCGAAGCTTCCAGGGCGCAGCGGGAGCTCATATCTCAATTAGAGGCGAAAAATAAAGAAATAATGCGAGAAATAGCAAGGTTAAGGTAGACCTGTGTCGTTATTTCCTTAAAATCGAGCCTGAAACCTCATCGTCATCCTACTGGACCATCCTAGTGTCACGCATGATTTTTTCTATCGAAGGGTCTTTCAGTTCTGGCTTATTGTCGCTTTGGTTGCGCTAAAAAATATATAACAGCAAAACTAGACCTCATATAACATCACTAAAACATTCTCCATCGAAGGAACATTAACAGATTACATTTTCTACCGAACCAATTAGACTACTTACGAATTTTCATAACACCATTTTCACGATGAATTTAGAAATGAAATCATTAAAACTACATGAATTCTTCAAAACTATATTCTCCATCCACACAATTATACACTGCTTTTTTATCTGGCAATCAAAATATTTTGGAAGCTATAAGTCATTACTTGTAACTATAGGAGACAACAAGAAATTGAAGCTGCAGGTTCGGAAAATCCAGCGCTCATGTCGGAGCTTCTAGGTTTGCGACAGAAAAAGGCCGAGTTGGAAAATTATCTGGTCACGCTTCAAGACTCCAGAAGGCAGCTCATGGGCCAGCTCGAGGGATTAATGAGGCTATTGAAAGTAATGAACAAATAAAATCCTATTTGGATGAAGTTTCCACGAACGTAAGTTTCACTACTCTTACTACTCGTAGATACATCCGCCGTCGCCGCGCTCGACTCCGAATAGTTCTCCGCGCAGCGCGAAGTCGCCGCCGCTGCCGCCGGGCAATGTGGGCATCGTCGGCGGGCCGAATAACACCGGCACACCCGGCAGCAGGTCGGCGCCTCCGACCCCGGGCGGACCGCTCGGTGGCATGACGACGCATCAGCAGCAGCAACAGCAACAGATGACCCGTAGCTATCAGAGCCCCGTGCCGCCGACCTCCGTCAGTCAGACCGTCAACAATATGTCCATGTCGAGCGCGACCCCCGACAGCTTGTCGAACGTCGGCGGCAACGTAAGGTAGGTCGTCTTGGACAAGAAAAAATGGAATAGCATGCGAATGAATTTTGCCTTATTTGTAAATGTTGCTAATCAATCAGTTGACGTTCCAATCAAAAGTCTATAGTTGTATTAATCGAGGCTAGAACTTTTTAAAAATTTTAAGATTTGAATGAGGTATTATTTTATATTGATTAAAATAAGCATACAATCACTTAGCGCCTGCTGCAAAACTAGCTCTCAATTAGTAGAATAGCATTCCATTACTATAATTATTGTACATCTGTTGTATTTAATTGTGTTATCGATTAGTTTTGCATTGCTTTGTATAATTTATACACATGAATTAGATCATTGATTCATTTTGTATTCGAAACGAAATTCAATGTTCAATATTTTTTCATCTGGCTATTACTTATGAGAGTATCGTGCAAACAATTTAAAAAACATTGCCAATTTAAGTATCAAAATAGTTATTATTCGTTAATCTATATAATATATTGTTATTGTTTTATTTTGCATGTATAATGATTAATAATTTATCATTGGGTCAATTACTATAAAATTAAGTGTAAAGGTGCTTCATGAAAAAGAGTACAAATCATTAATCGATGCACTATTTCTTAAAAACATCATTTTTGTTATCGTTATTTAAAAATTGATTTATCCATTCATAGTTATAGCACTCGTAAAAACAGCACTTGACATACGAAGGATTATTTACCAATAGAAGCTAGTTATGTTTTCTTGAATTATAATAATTCTAGTTTTCTAGTTTTTGTTAGTAAATTAAACATAATCATGGGAGAGATACTGCGAGTTTATTATATTTAAACAAAACCTTACGTAAATAGTATAAAAATTCCAAGTTCCCATAAAATAACGAATTTTACATTTTTCTACTATTGTAATAGCAACTAAAAAATGTGCTTTTTAATGGCTACTATAAAGTCTTCATGATAAATTATTATAGTACTGCTCATATGTTTAAAATGGTTAAGTACCTTTATCGTACAGAATACTTATTGTTATGTTGGTACATTTGTTCCGAGAACTTATTTTATGAAGAATGTGCAAGTAATTGAATAAATTATCATAGTATTAAGTCGAACGTAATTAAAAATATTTATAATTATCATTTAAAAAACCATAGCAATATCAACATTCCGTCTTTCAATGCCTCCTTGTTATTTTTGTAAAAATAAATATTTGTTACTCGTAAAATTATATAGAAACTGAGAATAGAGATTAATTATTTATTTTAATATTTTGCAGTTTTTTTGTAATTAGAAAATCGATTGAATAAAACAGTGATTTATTTTTATTGCTGCATGGCTTTTATATGAAAATTATACTTTCCCAAACCTTTTCCATGTAAATTTGTATTGTGCACTCGTTTCACGACATCAATGCAACGTAGCTTGCTTTTCAGCTAATTATTCGAATAGTATAGTAGAGTAAACCAATTTTCTTATTTGTACGTAATGTAGATTGATAACATTTTTTAGTAATTAAAAAGCCAAGAAAATATCAAAATCGAATCAGAAAAATTGATTTCGCTGATTTGAAACGATAAAAATGAATTCACCAATAAATGAAATTTTCAATCGTAATCATGATATTGTACTGTGCTACAAAAAGAGATGTTTCAAACATTAGGTCAGCCTTCAGAACAACAAACAGCTTGCCTGGGAGTGGCAACAACAGTGCCAACAATACTTTAGGTAGATCTCTGAGGAATGATCTCCTCATAGCCGCTGATAACGTCACAAACGCCATGTCTTCGCTCGTGAGAGAATTAAATTCAGGTACGTTTGGCCAGTTGAAAAAGTTCATTTATTTTGCATTTAGTCGATCACTTGAATGCAATTTTTTCACACTTCTACACGTTACCAACACATAAAAATATATATCTTTCGCTTACGAGACATTCGGAGCTTCAAGTCTGAACTTTCTCACTCTACCTTTCGTTTTTAATTATTATAATCGACTATTTTAAAATTTTAGCTGAAAAATACTTGAAAAATAGACCATGAATATTAATGAATGAACGGATGAGAGTATGGAGGTTGACTTTGCGACGAAATTTTGTTTACTCTTTAATCAAACACTTGCAAGTAGAAACTAAGTATTAAAAAAAAAAATTAGTGAGTAGTTTCAAAATGAATTTTTACCTGAAATTATAGAAAAATCAAGATGTTAATTTTAAGGGATTTCATTCAGACAATGGCATGACAAATTTTATTTACATACACAGAATCAAAACTACTTTTACCAATAAGCTGTAGAAGAGTTTAAGTTTTTATAATTGTCGTGGTTTTTGATTTGCACAGAGGCATACGCGAGTAACAGGTGAGATAAATGAATGTTTTAATGACCCTTTTTTATCGCCAACCCTTTCAGTCACGCATGCGAGAAAATCTCGATTCACGTTGCACACGATAAAGAAAATCCGTTGACAATTTCATTTCTTTCACGGCATTGAATTCGAGTTCATTTAGTTTGGACATTCATTCATTTTTAACAGCGTTGGAACATCATTATTCTAACAATTTTTAAATAGCAGTTTCATGGGATCTGAATTTTATAAAAAAAAATCATTATTAGATTTATTTTTTTTTCAATACGGTCATCTCTTGTCGCCGTAACTGAATAATATCAAATATTTGTTTACTCATTAAAATTCATGATTCATTCTAAAACATTCATCACCTGTTCAGCGTTAACCAAAAATCAAAGTGATTTGCAGAGGCTTGTGGCTGTACGATTTCATTCTTCATGAAATTTCGCATATTTTTTCGTTCTGTGAAAAATAAAATTGAATCATTATGTCACGAGACTCGTTAAAATCACTCATTTACATAGCACATAGATTTAAATCCTTACGTTTTACATTAACCACGGCACTATTTTTTCAAAAATTAATATATCAATTAAAAATAAATAAACTTTAGTGATTGAAATGTTTACATTTCAAATGAAAATAGCACAATATTGATTCGATTCGATGCATAATGAAAAGTATAGGTAATTTTGCAGAGAAATAGATCTGCTACAACTTTTAATTAGCTGAGCATTAACTTATACTTTTCTTACTCTGCTATCGATGAGAAAAATCATCATTGAATTATTAAAAGAAAAAAATATGTATGAGTGAGCAAAAATCATGTCGTGGACTACGCGTATTGCACCCACTATGAATGTTTCCTACTGGTACCTTGCAGACTCAGACGAGGAGGACCAATCTCTTAACTCAGGACGTCTTAACATCAGAAAACCTCTAGGTAAGTTTTTTTTTATTCAAAATCAGCTTCTGTCAACTTCGTACGATCAGATAACGAACGACTTTTTAATTGCAGTTATGAAATAATTGTTTCGGTATGAGTATTCCAATATAGCTTATTAGTTTGTTGAAAAAAAAATTAATAATTTGCGACACGTTTCATTCACTTGAATAATTCATTATAATCATATAATCAACATCAACATTGTCATCATTTTTGATTTTTTCCAATATGAAAATGTTACATTCATAAAAACTAAGATATTATTTATAGTAATTATATTGTGCACTTTACAATGTTTTAGTGTTGATTTGAGTTTATTATGCTATGAATTTTTCAATCGCTTTCTATGGAACAACTATATAATTCTATTACAGTTTCCAAAATTGATAGTTTTTCACAAAAAAAAGATACTATAGGTAGAAAAAGGATAACTAAAAAAAAATTCTAAGAATGAAATTTTCGCTTTGAAATTAAATTTTTTACAGCTTATTAATAAAATAATCAAGTCTAAAATTTAGATCATCGATTTCAAATTTCAAATTTCAAATTTAATCTCAAAGTTACGGTAAACTTTACAATACATAGAATGTTTATATAGTTAGTGTACGATCTCATTATAATTAGAATCGATCGTTTAAATAGCCTAATTGAGATAATTAAAAGAGAATTAGAATAGTTATTCAAAACATTAACACCTGTTTAACTATGTGTGACATCGATCGATGTAAGTATGAACGATGGGAGTTTTAAAATTTCTGCTGATTCTAAATTACAAGCATACCCAGCAACTTTGAACAATTTTTTTCGAATCTTTATCGTTAATCGAGAATAGTATAGACTATGTTTTAAATTGAATCGATGATAATTCGTGGAAAATAAATAAAATGAAAAATTTACAAGCGTACACGCAAAAATATTAGCTCGAATTGACCAGTAAAATTTTAGCTCAATCTAACGCGGAGCGGTATCTTCTTGTAGATTTCGAAATGGGTATGGGCGTCGGAGAAGACGTCGTCGAGGACAACGGCGTGCTCGGCGGCGGTGGCAGTTGGCGCGACGAGCTCCAACGTCGCTACCAGCAGGAGAACGACTTTCTCGCCGAGATACGCGCCAGGAACGCCATGCTGAGCGCCCAACAGCAGCAACAGCAGCACAATAATCATCAGAATCAGCTGCACCAGCAGCAGCAGCAGCAGAACCAGTTCCATCAGAACCAGCTGAACCATCAGAATCAGGTGCAGAATCAGATGCAGCAGCATCGCAATCAGGTGCAGCAGTATCATCTGAATCAACAGAATCAGAACAACGTTCATCATCATCAGCAGCAGCAGCTCAACAATCACCATCAGGAGCAGCAACAGCAGCAGCAGCAGAATCCGGGCGAGAGGGAGGAGGCCGAGGGCGAAAAGTGCGACGAGAGCGAGACCGAGTGGTCCGAGGCACTCAAGCGTTGGGTCAATCGATAAGCGCCTTCCCCCCCTTCTCCCCATCGTCGTTATACATTTCGCGTCGTTATTCTTACATAATTATATAATTATATTATTATTATTATATATATATATATCTCGTGTTCGTCCGTTGTACCGCTGCACCCAAAGTGCAACGTTCTCGGCTATGCATCATTAATCATGATTAAACCATATGCATTGTAATCCATATCGTCAACGTAAAGTTAAATATAGGAAAACTGAGAGAAAATTTTTAACGTAACTCCGCGTTCCGCGAGATTTTCTGAAAACGAATTGATAACCCGCTCGAGCTCGATTGCTACTTCCGATACATACAATCGGTGAGTGTATAATTCAAATTTGATTTATAGATATACAGTTGAGACGGAATCGATACAAACGAAGTTGCTTTCCAGGAGTAAAAGAGGTATAGATATTGCATTAATTAGTCGTAATTTTTTGCCTGTAAATATCATTTCTTCCTCGGCGGCGTCGACGAGTATATAAAATGTATAAATTATGTGCGAGCTGTAATATGTACAATTGTACATAGTTGTTGTGTATAATATCGATATATTGGGTCATTTCTCCGCGATTCATTGAAATATATATATAATTGTATTGCCGATAATTGGTGTCGCGTTTAATCGAGTCAATTCGTTTTCACGAAACATACCGCGCGAATGGCGTACGAAAATTTAAGCAAATTTATGCGAGAACGTATTCTGGAAATACTTGTATTGTAAAACGGGAATGATTTAATCAAAAAGGTTTTGAAACGTCGACGCGAATCTCGTTGCCGATTTACGACGATGCGCGATGTAGTCGTACACGATTGTCGAGAGAAAACTGCACAAAATACCGAATTAAAATTGGGTGAACGAGAAAGACAAGAAACAATTTAAATGGCAATAAATATGGAACGGTCGAGAAGCGAAGAACAATAAATGCCTTCGAATTGATCCATAGTTGTTTTGGTATAAACTCAGAATACTGATATCAATGTTACGATATGTCTCCCGATAAATTATTAATTATGAAGCATTTTGATAATATTGTACAACAGTTCAACAAATCGAATCGAGAAACAATTGTTATTTGTCGAAGGGCACGATTCTTACCAAACGTTTCGCCGCGAAGATGAATTATTGAGTACCGATGGACGATTTTTAATTAATGAAACGTCTTATTGAGTTCGATTTCGTATCGAACGCAAAACACGATTATATTAAACGATGAAAAATTTCGAGGGACAATTTTTACCCCTAGGGTCGGCGTCATAACGCCAACGTTTCAACTAATGTACGCAACGAGAAAATTTTGTTGTACAAATTATACCGTAAAATCATACCGTTTCTCATTCGGTGAACATTTTAAAATGTGCTAGACGGTCAATTAATCGTGACAATACAATGCATATTCTCGCCAGGATGTAATTCATGACGAAACTCGTTCAAAATTTCCTTTTTCGTTGTTTTTTTCGGTGGATAATTTTTACAATAAAATTTACTCTTGGTAGTTTAGATAGCGATATTTTTAAAGGAAAATTTTACAACTTCCTCTAAAAGATTAACACTTCGCTGACTCTCAATATAATAAGCTAGTTTCATTGAGAATGAAAAATTTAAATACGATTTTACCGAGATCACACATTTTCTATGAACTTTTTACTCAAAATTTATCTAAAAAGGATTTTTAATGATTAAGAACTCATATCGTTATACATATATCACAATGAGAAGCCTGACAAAAAAAAGAAGAATCGTTGTATAACTTTATACATGTATACTAAATTTGAGATAAGCATAAAACAAGGAACCAATTGTCAGCCGATTTCAAACAAACAAAAATTAAGCTATTTTTCAGCTTACTCATAAACAAATGCACGCATTTATTGTAACATCGTTTTAATAGTCTACATTGAATGAAATAAATGTGACCAACACGTTAAAAAGGGCTAATAATATAATAGCGAATTTAAGGCAATTACAGTTGAAAGATGTATTTGTAATGCAATTTTATACTGCAAGAATAATTTGACATAAAAATTAGATCGTCAAAATAGAAGGACAAAAAAAAAACTTAGATAAAAGACATCTCTCGTTAACTCAAAAGACTGTTACTCAATGCCAAAAGTTTTGTACCGCAACATAGCTTCCATGATACAACATTTCCAACACACAGTGCTAGAAAAGAAAAATGTTAATGTCATTGTCATCTTCGTAGCAGCGACACTCGTAAAACAAAACGAAAAACAAAAAACAAAACAAAAAAAAAACATATCTCTACTTGCGACTTATATAAAGAAATCAGATTTAGAAATGTAATCACGTAGAGCTTGACTATCTCATATCAGACTCATTTTGACCATATAGTTATTATTACAGCGCAATAAGCAGTAAGCGAAAAACACAACTTCCAATGCTAAAATGTATCGTGTTCGTAGATGATAGAAATTCAAGGTACATTGGAAAATAGGCAAAGTACTATGTAACATGGTACTTATTATACAGAATGCCGGTGCGAGGGGTCATTCTTGAGGAATGATTTCGTGGATGTTACGGATTATTAACTTGCATTTAAAGAATTGATGATTTTAATTCGCCCGTACAATTATACCTTGTTAATTTTTTTCAAATATATATTATGTTATTGTACAAATAAACTTATTTATCGAACTGAATAAGGCAATACATGTTGCAAAGTGCTCACGTGTACTTGATTAATGAAAATTTAAGTCGAAAAAATGTATTTTTCAGTTCGATCAATTTAGTTTTTACGACTTACAAATGGATTGAATCTAATGTTTGTTTTACTATTTATTTTTTTATTCATTTCCAATACCATAAGACAAATGTGTTCGATTGTTTTCTTCCAGATAGAGCGAACTCTTAATAAAAAAAAGTTACCATAAATTTAGTCAAAGATAAGCCGGGGTAAAATGAGAAGTGTTGAATTTTTAACGATCCTGAAAACTCATCCACAAAAAGTAAATTTATACCTGCAAAAGAAGAGAGCGCAATTCTCTCTATCGTTCTCACTGCTCGCTTTGCCCCATCCTAGTGTTATATTATCAATGTTTATGTGATTAAACGGCATTTCCAGACTCTCAATCATTGTAATACATTATTCCAGAAAAAAAAATAGGTCTTCGGATGTATTAATAGCGCGTGTGGGAGCTTCGAAGAATCGTATGTGCGTTACACGAACTGATTATTTAATAAACCATATAATACGATATTAGAACGAAATTTTGTTTTTATTCATGATCCCAATTGATACTTTTTTTGATTAATTTGATGACATAGTCCTGGAGCCAAAGAGGGGTCGGATCGGCCACGTGAAAAAGATGGATGAAACCATGTCATTCTTATATATTTTTTCCCACTGAATCCGAATATCATAGTTAGAAGTCGCTCAGACTGCCCAAAAATTTGTTATAAACAAATATATTGCAAAATGAAGAAAATTAAAATTTTTCTAAATTTTAAACCCATATTTGTGTTCTTTGGGCAATTTTAAACAAAAAGTGTCTCTTGTAAAATTTTCGTAAAATGATTATTTACCGAGATATTGAGACTCAAAGAGGAAAAAATGCACATTTTTGACCATTTTCAAATACCCACAACTTTTAAAATAATAAAGTTAGATCGATTTTAGACCCGTCATTTGAAAGTTAAAAACTTAATCTTTAAGATGATACTAATATCAACCATGATTTATCATACTGGACATGTTTTTTTGCACTACAAACATAAGACCTGCCATCAGTCACAAATTCTGTCTATTATACAAATATATTAATCGCAATTTATGAGATACAAAAGTACATTTTGGACCAATCACCAAGCTTCCTCGATGAAGAAGCAAAAAATGAATTTCATTAAATCACTTGAGTTTTAATTTTCCTGTATTTTAATTTTATTCTTTCATTAATTGTACAAAAAATTTAATCGTACACTTAAAGGCAGCCTCTACCGCTTGATGGCGACGTACACCATTATCTTTAATTCTACAAGTAGCAAAGTATAATTTACAAAAAACTTATAAACGACTAAACGCAAGTAAGAATAAAAAAAATTCATACATTTTCTTTCTGACTGTCCGGCAACGTGATGCGCGCGCAACTTTCTGACTGTACTGTACTTTTTTAGTTTCGCCCACGAGTTAGTTACGCTGTAGTATACGTTGCAGTGTAATCCCACGGGTAGTCAGAGAAAGATCACTTTCAGACCGCTGCAAGTTTATTTTGTGAAAGAGAAAAAATATTCAAACTCATAATTTATTTTATTCGCGGGTGAGTTCGTATAGAACAATGGTTGAAAACGATCAGGAGTGCTTAAAAAAATTGAAAATTTTGCGAGACAGTGTCTTTTATTGGAAAGAGCCACGCAAATTTCTTCATGAACTTTACGCGTTGATCAGAAAATGGAAAGGTCAACTCCCGGATCTCCGGGATATCTTTACACCCGGAGATATCGACCGGATTCTCTCGGATACCGTCGGATTCGTGGAGAGGGTCAATGATTACCACAATAATCTAATTCCACTCGTCGAGTTCGTGATCAAGACCGGCTACAAGGACGAGCCCGGCGAGTCATCCTCGCCACGTCGCTCCACACCTATACATCGTGCGGCCAAAAGTTGTCGTCCTCGCAGGGATATCGTGGTCGGTAAGCTCTTTCAAATTTACGACAAATTCGTCGTGAACTACGCCGACGAGAATAGCGTCACGCATCTACACGTGGCCTGCATGTTCGGCTGCCAAGGCGTCGTCGAGAGCTTCATCGAGCTTGGCCACGATCTCGATTGTATCGAGGGCAGATCGGGCGATTCGCCGCTTCACGCGGCTCTGAACTATAGCCAAACAGCAGTGGTCGAACTGCTTGTGACAAATGGCGCGGATCCGAAGATAGTCAACGGGTTCGGATCCAATGCGCTGCAAAGGATTTTACCGAGTCGGAGCGATGATTCCTGTGCGACTAGATTGCTTCGTATCGCCGATGAAAAACGTCATCTGGTGCCGATCATCGACGCCCAGGACAAGAAATTAGGCTACACACTTCTGCACTCGGCTCTGCTTCGCGGCTTCAGAGGCGCGGTCGAGTTGCTGCTGAGAAAAGGCGCCAGTCCGAATCTGCCGAACAAGAGAGGACTGACACCTTTGCACATCGTTTACCGGACGAACTCGCACGATGACTTCGCGCAGCTGTTCTTCGAGATCGTCGACGATCTCGGGCGAGAGGTGCCGATCGACGCCGTGGACGAGCAGGGCAGGACACCGCTGCACTACGCTCTGCTGCGTCACGAGCCCGGCAGCGTCCGGTTGCTGCTGCACAGAGGCGCCGACCCGAATTCGGCCGACGCCGAGGGCGAGACTCCTTTGCACGTCATTGTTGCGCGGCGAAGAAAAGACGACGACACGATGAGGCTGTTCTTCGAGATGGTCGACGATGCAATAACGGTACGAGTCGATGCTCGAGACAAGCTGGGCCGGACGCCGCTACAATTGGCCGTGGCGAAGTTTTGGCCGAATTGCGTCGGTGTGCTCTTGGATCGCGGCGCCGATCTGTCCAACTTCGTTTTTCCCATCGAGAGCATCATCGAGGCCAGATTCGAATCGCATTACGAGCTTGATATTTTCAATCTTTTTAAATTGAAATTGTCGTGCGGCTTCATGGCCTGCCTCGAACGTCTCCAGAAGAGAGGATACGAGCTGGATCGAAGCGACGCCTCGATGCTCATGAAATTATTCGCCAAGTACGGATTCTTTACGAAGTCGGCGGCGAATCTCGACGAGTATTGGTATCACGACGGGGCGTTCGCGATCAAGACGAAAAAAACAACGATAGGCTCGAATCTGTCTCTCTACGACTTGATTCGGCTGCAACCCAGAGAGTTGGTGAAACAGCTCACGCGCACGGACGAGCCAAACATCCGGAAATTGACAGATTGTTGGTGGCTCCCGAACAGTAATAACGGAAAGGCTTGTATCGCGCATCTGTGTGAGAAAATTTTGAGAAGATTTTTCCAACGTTGGGCACTGGATCCTTTCTGGGAACTGATACACTATCGACTGCCGATTCTCTGCTGTGACATGATCATCGAGGAGCTGACGAACCAAGATTTATATAATGTTTGTTTGGCGGTTGATAGACTAAATGACGAGGAGTGTAAGAAAAATTCAATAACAAGTATGATGGAATGTCAGAGCGAAGGAAACGTGGAGAGAGCTCCAAAAAAGCTTAAATGAACATATGCTATTAGTAAGGTTCCATTTTATTCCGATGTTACTTAATGTTTACACATTTTGTACGTAGTTTAAATAAAAATTTTTTTTGTTAAATAAAACTTGTTGATAACTAAAAACTGCTGCCAATTTATTAGCAAAAACTTTCCTCATAAAAAATTACATTAATGAAAGGGTTATTGAAGGGAAAATCCGTTTTTCATTTTTCAATTTTGAACCGTTTTCATTTTTTTATACGAAACTCCAAAATAACGTAGAGATTTCTGGTGAAAAATTCCCTTCTATCTATTTACACATCTATCTTAGTCAAAAGGCCGGGAAGACACACACACGCACATACCGACGTTTGTTGATAATTCATAGTTTCCAAATATGTAATCCAAATTTTCCTTCGACGTCTAGTTCCAGATCTCATTTTTAAGCCTATCCCATAACTTCCTCCATTAGGAAGCAATTGTGTTGCACTTTTTCAGCTTAAATATTATACATAGAATTATAAAAAGATTTAAGCCTCCTATCAACCCTTGAATTCACTGATGCTGATGAGAAAACCAGACCATGAAATTATTCATTATTTGAAATTTGTTTAATTGATTTTCAAGTTTAACAATTGAATTAATTTATCTAATCAAATCGATCCAATTAATAATTGGTTTTGATTTATTAGTTGTTATCGATTTCAATTGAAAAGTACTTTGTATTTATTATTTAAAAATGAATTGGAATAATAAATGCAAAGTATTTAATATTTGGTAAATGAAAATCCAGAACTGATTTGTAAATATTTCCGTGTGCAGCTGCGACGAATAAAAATTTTGATAAAATGATTATCCTTTCCCGTGTAAAAAAATTATACTAAGTTTTTATAAAGCGATAATTTTATAAAATCGATTTTATAAAAACTTTATAAAATTTTTTTACTTGGGTTTTCTTTCTGCTCGTCATTCGAATATCTTGCCACTTTTTTCAAGCGTTTTGTCGGCTTCGAGGGCAATTTTCAAATTTTCATTATCAAAATAAAAATAGTCAACAAAAATAATACAAAAATCTGAATGATAACAAAAGTAACCAGATTAACTGGTCTGGTACTTGATACACGCACTCCGTGAAACGTTTTAAATATTGTGTAGAATATTGTTAATACATTCTTGGGCCTTTGAACAAAAGTTTTACTTTATCTATTTCACACGAACTGATTATTTGATAAACCATATAATGCGATATTAGAATGAAATCTTGTTTTTATTGATGATCCCAATCGATACATTTGTTTAAAATTATTGCATATTGCACTCGTAATTTCTCACGTACAATTTGTTATTTCTTACAAAAAAAAAAAAAAAAACATAGATTACTTCAACTGCATCGATAAATTAAAATCGATCGAAATCGAATCGTTAAAACTCAACGTCGAAACGATCGAAGCCTGTGCTCGAGCAGCATGTTGCTCTCCGGCGGCAGACCGACGCAGGCCTTCAGGATGTTCTCGATGGCGCAGCGCTGCTTGAACAGGGCATTGACGACGGGAGCGTCGTTGGGCGCCAGCGGAGCTTTCAGCAGGTAAGAGAGCACGGACAGGACGCTGCGGAAGCTCTGGAACTCGGCCGCGTCGGCTCCCGGCCCGTCGAGACTCTTGAAGCTGACGCGAGAGCAGAGCTCGGCGAGGAGCACGAGGTCGAGTATGATGGGGCTGGCGAGGAGCGAGTCCTCGCACGTGTTGTGCACGACGATGGTGTTCTGGCCACCCATCAGGATCTCCGACGTGTACTCGTCCATCGCGCGCTTGCTGTCGCCTATAGAATCGAAAGATCGAAAGATCGATGATCGAGAGAGAGAAAACATTTTTTTTATTTATCCACCTTTTTTATATCACTCACCGACATAGGGAACGTATTTAATGACGACGCAGTGATCGGGTTTCTCTCCCTTTTTGTACAGTATCGGATTGGACTCGACCATGTCGTCGACCACATTGCTCTTGGAGATCTGTCGAACGAATAATAGACGATATCATCGTCGTTCAATCGCGAAGCGGAAAAAAAAATCCAACGCAAATATTATTACCTCCTTGGATCTGAACTGCGCGGGCGCGGACAGGTTGTAGCCGTCGTTGTTGCCCAGATGATTGTAGCTGACGATCGAGACCGGCTTGATACCGGCGGAAACCAGAAAGTCGACGAGGACCGACTTGAGCTTCGTCTGGCCGGATTTGAAGTCGTCGCCGCCCACGAAGGTCCCCTGCCTCTCGGCGAGCTCCAGGGCGCCCGGCACGAATGTGTTCTGCGGCGATCCGTTCAGGTAGGTGCACTGTAAACGGAAAAATCAAGTACATCGATTCAAAAGTCCGATTTAACGCGACGATTTCTCGATATACTCACGCCCTCGAGAGCCGCGGCGACGGCGAACACCGTGCTCGGGCTGATCTCCGAGTGTCCGTGGGCGATCGATCGCAGCAGATTGTCGGCCGTGTCGTTGACGCCCGGCAGAATTTCCGCGAATCTCTCGGTGTTGGCCGTCCAGAGCACGACCACGGTGTCGAGACTCTTCCGGGCTTTGAAGTCGGCGATGTCGCCGCGGATGGTGTCCAGGTGCTGCTGCATCGTGCCTCGCAGCACGTTGTTCGATCTCGATTCCTTCCAGGCGCACGAAAACAATTAATGATAAAAATCGATATCGAAGACTCACTCGCTCGATCGCGAGAAAGTGTTTACCTGATTAGCCGCTATAAAGTCCGGATAGTAGATGCTCTTTCTCGGCTTCATCTGCCTCATGTGGGGCACGAGCTGCTGCTGCAGATTGACGTCCAGCACCTTGGCCCTGGCCATGGCCTCGGCCAGATTCGCCGCGGATATGTCCCAGCCGTCGATCTCGATGTCGTCGGGACGGACGATCGGCAAGAGACACGAGATCGGCGCGTAAACGTCCTTGCCTTGGCACTCGCCCAGGCGCACCGTCGACGCCTCGATCAACGAGCCGAACCTGCAGAAATTAATCGATTCACAAAATGTTGAAAAAAAAAAAAAAACGAAAGGGATCGAGGTATGAAAGGCGTGTGTACCAGTTGGCGTGTTTGACGCCCTCCTTGGTCGGCCAGCTGAGCTTGAGCCTGTTGGCGAGCAGCGCCGCGGTGATGGTGGAGCCGTTGTTGCCACCCCAGCCGACCAGCATGACACCCAGACGGGGCAGCCTCGTCTCCGTGCGGATGAGCAGCTTCCTCGTTTCCGGCACGATCTGTATACGAAAATGAAAATAAAATTCGTAACCGAGTTGAAGCTTGCACGGGGCGAGTAAAAAGCGTAGCGCACGGACGGACACGCACTTTGTACTTCGGTCGATGCTCGTCGCCCTCGTTGAAAACTGCGGTCGTCTGGTAATCGTATTCCGTCTCGATGCGCTCGCCGGTGTACTTGACGCGCGGCGAGTCAACTCGTATCTCGCACGAAGCCATTTCCGTATATGTATGAGCTTTCAGCCGTGTGTCCCTCGATTCTTTTTTTTTTTTGTTTTTGTTCTATTTTGGAAATCGCGATATCGTCTGTATCGAGGTTCGAAAAGCTACCGTTGCATCGGCAGCTATGTGTGCAGAGGCGAAAACGATACTGGGCTCGGAGGAGACTCGGTGCGGTCTTTACATAGGCTTATATAGAAGGGGAGCAGCAGCAGCAGCCCCCCGTTAAACGCCAGGCACGCGTCGCGACTACGACCATCAAAGCTACCGAGCTCAATCACGTGATGTCTGTGTTGTATACCACAACAATATAACAACGCACGCGTGTGTCTCTCTCAATATACTCTTCCGCGAGGGCCAAGTGCACGCGGATTAAGAGTCGTTGTCGCGTTGCTTTTACGCAATATTTACTTTACACTTCTTTATAATTTTTTTTTTTTTTATCGATGGGTATATACACTCACAAAGGATCGCGCTGTTGGCCGCGTACGCACACTCGTGCACGTGACGCGTAAACCGCGCGCGATTTATCGTAATACGTACGATTTGTCACTGCCGCGAGATGATGTGCGATTGAAAATGTCGTATGCGCAAAACTGTCGTCTATCGAAACTCTGCGCGCTCAAAGCATCTTTTTCATTTCACACGCAACAAAAAAAAACGAAGCTTTGCTATAGATACGTACTACGTGTGCGACAGATTTAAATCATCGATTCGAGAGCGCGTCGCCTTGGACGGCCTTCGGCGTAAAATTATTAATGGACATCCTTCTGCCAGCGGTTGATACTTATTATTGATTTCGAGCGACACTTCGTCTTTTTTGCCCTTTTCGATTTTACGGACGCGCTAAAAATGTGTATACGAGTTAATTTTAAGTATCGGTAAAAATTTTTTTGTCGCTGATGCGAAATTCCTCAATGATATTTATGAATAAACAATAACTATATAGACTCGACCAGTTATTGAAAGGTTTAGAAAAATTCTGCTTTCAAGCAGCCCGGATGCATGTTTTTAGTCAATTTTAGGTAATCGAACCAACAGTTTGGCAAAGTTCATACCTTCCTCTATTTATTAGAATTTTTACAGAATTTTCAATTGAGTTTTTCCTATATAAAAGTTCATGAAAATGAAAAAAACGTGCTTTACCAGTGAATGAAAGCCGCGAAACCAGTAAATGAATATACAAATATAAGCATACGTTGATTTGATAATCAATATAGACTGTAATATATCACCTTTTTTATTGAATAAGAAACTAAAACATAAATTTATCATCCAAACCAACCTCTTTATTGCCATATTGCCATGATTAAAATAAGGGCATCTGTGTTAAATAACATAATTAAAATATTTCAAGGTCATGTTATAATTTTTCATGATGTAGGACAAGTTTTGGTAATTTTTCAAGGATCTTTTTTAAAAATCTGTTTCATTTGAGTAAAGAAGAACCATTTTACAAATATTTTAAGACCTCGTAGATAAAGATTGGTTCAAAACTCCAATCAAAATATGCTTATTTTTGTGCTTTCATTTACTGGGTAAGTGCGAACTATTCACCACACCAGTAAATGAAAGTTGAAAAGAAATGAAATTTTCTAATTAAAAATTGACTTTTCACAGGAAATGCAATTGTTTAACATATAAATGACAGTTGTAAAGGTAACTAGCTAACTTCTTTTACAGTGGATCTTCCAAATTTTAACTATCTTCGGCGATTATGTACAAAGTGACCGTATTTTACGGCTCAGCGAACGATGCGTTCGTAAATTAATTCCTATCGTTAAGCTATATTGATTCTGGACCTGATAACCATTCGAATAGTTAGTAATAATACCCAAGAATAGCATAAAAATTCGTCCTTCATGAATAATGTCGTTATCAATTAATAATTTTTATTTAAAAAAGTGCTTTCATTCACTGGTATGCTGTCAATCACTGGGTATAGGTGACTCTAGTAATACGAGAATTTTCCAATTTCATAATTTCTATTTCTATAATAATTAGAAAAAAAAAACTAAACCACATTTGACGCGTAAGACACACAGAGCTTTCGACCTTGAACGAGCTTATCGATTATTTCAGCTATTTACGATGAATTAATTTTGCTCGTCCGCACTGTGAATTAAATGACATAATAATGATAAATATTAATAAGCGCGTGCACTCGACGTAGCGGGGATATATCTGAGTTTTACCAGAACAGGAAGCAATTCAATGCGAGGCATTGAATTATTTTTTCTCGTTCTACTTTTTAATATCGTTGAATCGAGCCAAATAAGAGCGTGAGTTGCACAAATAATTTCGAGTGCCATTTTATGGGAAAATCCATTTTTTTTATTGCGAGATGAAAATTAGCTTTTAAAATCAAAACGATGATTCGTTTTGCCTATTGCCAACGCTTGCGCGCGTAAAATTTTGTTCACATTATGCTCTTTTCAAAATTCCATGCTCTTTATAGAAATATCTACTAATAAAATATTTCCATCTACAGTAATTAAGATATCATCTTAAAAATAATCCATCTTTATTAACGAACTGTTGCATTTTAATTTTGATTTCTCAACTTGTAGACTCGTATGCTTATGTCTTTTCATCGTGTTCAATAATAAATATTTGAATCTTTGTAGATCGAAGCTCTTTAAACAGTCTGCGCAATTAGCAAGAGCTAATTTAATTATATTCGTCGAGAATTCAATTCATTTCCGTCGTCTCGACTTCTGTCGATATTATTTCAAACGTGTGAACCCGACGATAACGTTGTTTTTGTTATCTCGATTGTTACGCTGATTCACCAGCAGCACAGATGCGATTCTCAAAGTACGTACGCCTGCTTTGAGGGATATTTTCTTTTTATTTACCGTTCGATACGATTTTACGTTTCGACACTCACGCCTACTGACCAATTCAAAAGCGTAGGTATTACGTTGATTGCGTCTCGTAAACACTCGTGAATCCTCAGCGCTGCAGCTAGACGATTAAATGCCAATGGTTTTCGAGCCATAACCTCAAAGAAACAACACTTCGTTATTCAAAACGAAAGTTCGCTGACACTATTTCTTACTTTAACTGCCAAAAATGGTAAATAAAACTGGCAATAATTGCTGGATTCTGCATGTTATTTGTTAATTTTTTATCATAATATCGATAAGCAGCAGGTACAATTTTTTACTCATTGTTATTTTACACACTTTGTTTAGGATGTTTTTTTAATGATTCGGCGGAAAAAAATGACAATTTTCACTGATGCGAAGGAGAACACAACGGTTTTGGAGCTGAAGAAAATTATCGAAGGTACGTTTCTTTTTGAATGCAAAACATTTGTCAAATCATAACAATTGTTTCAAACCTACTGATGCTTTGGAAATTATTAAAAGCTTGTTTGTATTTTTATCAAAATGTGACTTGACATAACTCCAAAATGATTACAGGAATACTGAAGATTCCTCCAGTAAACCAGCAACTGTTTAACAAAGAAACAATTTTGATGGCTGAGAGCAAATTATTATCAGACTATGGACTATCCTCTACAACTGCCAAAGCTCAATGTCCGGCTGTGATAGGTTTAGCAGTGCGTCAAGAAAATGGTCAATTCGAACCATTAGAAATGACTCCATTTTCGCTGCCACCCGATCTACCAGAAGTTATGAAAACACAAGAAACCAATGGTCAAGAACAGTCACCTTGACTTTTGGATTATTACAATCTTGTTAAGCCAATAACTGATTTGATCTTCAAATTACGCATCATCAGACTCTGAAGATAAATATTAGAAGCCGGATTGTAGACTTGTATATGAACTTTTGTTCAATTGCATAGCTACATCAATACCATACTTGCAAAAAGTGCTAATACTTTAACAATTTTAAAAAGTGTTTGAATTTTAACAGTTAAATTTTTTATAATTAAACTTACAGAACAATGTGTCACTTTTAAATTATTAGTTTTGTATTTGTTTAATTAAAAAAAATTTGTTTACTTTTCTTACATCTAACAATATCTAAATATTAAATGTATGTGAGCAATATTTTGTTTTGAACTTTGATTGAGACACATTAATTACATTAACTATTGTGGTGTGCTTGTGATATAATTAAGTTGGGTGAATTATTTATTATGTTTATTTACTATCTAATAAAAAATATTGTTCTATAAAAATACATTTTCAGATATTAAAAATCCTTTATTACTAATTATCTTGCTTGTTGTCTTTTGGAATCTGTACCAAAAACACAATATTTTTGAAACTTTAATAGAAATTTTCACTATATTAATCTTACTTCACCAATTTTTAAAAAACCAAAGTCAAATAATAAGTATCATAAAACCATTTAATAATATGCTGAGACCATTTCAATAATTCTCGACCAAACTGTTAATGGACAACTGTCTCAATACAAATAAAATTTAGTATTAATAAATTGAAGAATAGTTGATTTGAAAAAATATTGAGAGGTTATTATTTATTCTCCCCATAATTAAAATTTCATGGATTTTACTAAAGTATATTCTTTTTAGTAAAGTTGAAATAATTAGGCAAACACTAATAGTTTTCTATTATGTTTTATATCATTTATTGATTTCTTTTGAGTTTTTACTTTCAAACATTTGTTTCACAAAATCATTGAAAATATGTTTTTTTCCTGGCACATAATGGCCTCCTTCATGTACAAATTCCTGTTTGTTGTCAAAAAGATCACTTAATTCTTTAGCCATATCTGTAATTAAATATAAAGCAGGTTACAACATTTTTTTAAAATCAATTCTTTTTAATAAGATAAGATTTAAAACTCACGTGTGGGAATTACTTGATCTCCTTCACCATAAACATGTAAAGTTGGTAGTGTTATTTGTTCATTGTAATAAATTTCATGAGGCTGGCAAAGAGATTTGAATCCTGATATGATGATAGCAAAATCAAAGTTTATTGGTAACTCTGTAAAAATAAAATTTTTTTATAAACTAGAAAAGATTGATTGATCAATATTGCACTTGAATGAAACTTACTTTTCTGTTGTTGCAGAGCACATAAAATAGAAACAAATGATCCGCCTTGAGAAAATCCTATCAAACCATCGAATGGTCCTTGCTCATCAAATACTTTTTGTACAACTTTCACACTCTCTTCGAATCCAACTGATTTATCACTTGGCTCGATAGCTTTAAACACTCGATCCTCAGTATTGAACCACCAACCATATTCTTTAAATGATAATGTTTAATGTAAAAAATTTGATGATTAAAAATAAAATACAAAAAAAATCAACTATTACGTTCTGTATCTTCTACTGGTTCTTCATCCTTTTGTGAATGAGGATTTTCTATTATAGGTGGTACTTTGTGTGGTGCTTTGAGAAATGTAAAATCTATTTCTTTTTTAAAACTTTTTCTCAAGGAACCCAACTTTGCACTGAATATTTTGTCTGATTGGCGGTATCCATGGATTGCTAAAATCTAAATTTAAACACTTGATAAGGATAATATATTGACATTGCTTCCAAATTTTCTTAAATATAAAATGGCACTTTTAAAAATTGAATTCTTGTGCTTATTATTATTAAGCCAATTATTATGCTAAATATTACTTTTTATATTTTGAATTTAAATGATTAAAACATTTATAGGTGACATACGCATTTGATTCATTGTTATGTTTTGAATAGTGCTTCATCATTAATATCCCTTGTATATCATTCAGATTCATTGAAAAGTCCAGCTTACCTTCAGCTTTTCGTTTGCCATGTTATTATTATGCCGGTATTACAAATTTATAGGTTTTTGGAGCGATAAAAACATTCAGCAAGAGATGTACAATATATAAATATAGCATTGGCATACACGTTTAAAATCAGTACAATATCGTAGATGGCAGTGTCAGTTGAAGTGTCTTCTGCTTGATATTATTGTTGCTGTCAAGTGTCTACACCTGACGGCAGAACTACAGATAAGTTTCATAAAGACAAAAAATGAAAAAGAATAAAGACCCTTTTATTAAATTTATATATTTTTAATTCTAATTAATATATAAAGAGTTCTAATTAAAATAAAAACTAAATAAATTGTATCAGAAATTATATTTATGAGTTTTCATTCTATTTTACATTTTACAATTGATTGGAGATGGATGGAGATGTTCTTACTTTCAACAAGAATATACATTTATTAACAAAAATAAGTTACATTAGATATTGTGCTATGTTAGTTTTTTGATGATTTTTTTTAATAAAATTGACAAAATCAAGTCTTTAGATAATAGTAACATAGTTTAGTTGATTCTTTTACTTTAAAAATTGTCAAGAATGCTAAATTCACTTATAAGTCACTAAGGTCAACGGCATCAACTTTATTTGACAAATCTTCTTTGTCGTCAGTGTTATGGATTTCTTCTCCCTCTATATTCTTTTTTGGAATTTCTAGTCTACTCCAAGAACCAGGACCAGCTTTTCTTAATTCAATTTCTGTTTTTGTAGGCAGCATAGTTACAGAACTTTGTTCAACTACGACAACCTTAAATTTGAAAGAAACAAATCATTAATTAAGTGATTGAAAATTATTTCATCAGAATTCAAACATAAAAATGTAATATTTGTATACTTACACCCTGTAACTCCAAATCTAATTTGTAGTTAGAACTTTCCTCTGGGAAATACAAGTCTACCAGCAAACGTACTGGATTCAATTTTATACTGGAAAACTTTGGATCGTACTTTTTACCAAAAATTGATATTATCACATGAGTTGCAGTTTGATGCCAATCCAATCTACAGTTTACTTTTTTGCCATAAGTCTGAAGAACAATCAATTGATTAACTTACATGAAAATAGTTGCTGCGAGTCAATGAAGTTTTGTAATAACGTTACCTGTTTAGTCCACACGTGACTTCCTTCCGTGCATCCTTTCTGCTCCATGAACACATTGAAGTCCGTCGTCTTTTTCTGACAGCAAGACCAATACTTCAGGCCCTCGTGGAAAATAGGAACTCCGGGATGATAGACGCAAACTTCCTCATTCGAGCTGGGACCCAGGTAAGTACCTTTGCAGCAATTGTTGGTGCAGTTCTGGCCAACAACTACGGTGGTGCTATTCTCGTGAGATCTCTTCGACGTCGTCAGACCCTCGAGTTGTTCCAGGAGCTTGGGCGAAACTTTGGGCTTGAGATCGATCATCAGGCTCTTGATCGACGGCCTCGCCACGACCTCGTCCTTTTTGCTCGGCAGCCTGGCCTCGGCGATGATTTTGTTCAGCTCGTCGTCGTCCTGCTTCGGCTTGACCGGGGCGGCCGGCTTCACGTTGGAGTGCTTCGATCTCGTGCAGCCGACGATGTTGAGGAACTCGGTGAAATCGGTGCACTTCTTTTTGCAGCACGACCAGCTCTTGTAGGCATCGTGAAAAACGGGATGGCCGGGATGATGCCGACAGCTCTCTGCGCGCGTGAAAAAAGGCAAAAAAAGTAGAGTTACGACCGGGAGTCACGACGGCGCGTGTTGGTAAATAAACACACACAAACACGACAATCCTTACCGTCGTTGTTCTCACTGGGGTCGAATTTTTCGCCGCAGCCACGGTTGTAGCAGAAAAGTAGCTTGTCTTCCGCGCTGGTCATTTTGATGACGATGATGACGATGATATGAAAAAAGTGGACTGCGCGTGATTACTACTTTTGAATAACAGATATGACGATTCTCGATAAGTAAATAGCGAGAGATATAGAAGATTGTGGTTACTTGCGCTCCGGCACGTTGTGCGTATAGTGTAAATTGCGTGCAGAGCAGTAGCGGCGGAGCGCGAACTTATATTCTAGCACATTCGTGAATAGTTCCCGAATTTCGGCCTCTCCAACGACATCTGTTGCGAACTATGCGCGCCTTTATCATCGCGTAATGAGTTTTTAACGGTAGAGTAGATTTCATAAAGTTTGTAAATGATTAGCAGCAAGTCCGAGATATTTTGTTTATAATTCATCAAGTTTGCATTTAGTAATGTTTACCTATACATGAAAAAAAATGAACCATCGCTGAAACTTGCCTAGTTTTTTAAATTGAAGTATAGCTCGCGGGAACGCAGATTTGTAGGAAATTAGAACCGCTATGAAACGCGGGTATATCGTGGTAATTGTCGTGACACGCCGCGCCGAGTCGCTTCGAGTCGAGGATCTTTCCCGCGAGCGATCGATTCACGCGTATCGCATATAAACCTGCCGTCGGTTCGACCGATATATCTCACTTGTGCCTAGTACCTAGATCATTGAAAACGCTCGACTGCCCTTTTAAAAATGTATTTTACACTGAGAAAATAAGTTCATTGATTCAATGAAAATTCAATTAAATACAATCTATGAAATAATTTCATTGGAATGATCTTTTTTTCTATAGTTTCATGAAATTTTGGTAAAAACAACAAGATATTCAGTTGTTTCAATCAATGAATTTTTTTTCTCAGTGTACTATATCTGCACAGGCTGGCATTCGCGAGCGTATAAAAGATTAGACATTTCAAAATAATCACACCCACTGTTGTACACAGCTGGCGAAAGTCGACAGACCCGCTTAACTGGAAGGATCCAGTTTACACAACGTGTGTGTGTGTGTGCTTGCAGCGTCGCGCTTGCGTACACTCGCAGCAGAGCTTTCGTGCTTTATCGCACACACACACACCCCCCAGCTGTTTCACGAGCTCACCTCGTGTTGTGCTTTCTGCGCTCGACTGGAGTCGTGTGCGGGACTGCGACGCGATCGCGCGAGTACACCTGTGTACAACACATTATAGGGTGTGAACGCGGGTCAGCTCGTTGGGACACTTGGGGGAAAAAAGAAAAAAAGCTCGATTCGGCCCCAAGATCAAGATGTAGTGCAGATTTACGTTTTGATAAAGTTCGAGCTTGCAATCAACGAGTCCTGACCCTAACACACCCACGCGTACATACAATATCATCGCACATCATCGCGTCAGATGAGACGATCATCGCGGCCGAGGACTGCTCGGTCGGATCCGGGTCAGCATCGTCAACATCGTCATCGTCGACTCGTCGTACCGCTGACCCAGCTGGTCGATGGAGCCCGCGAGGCAGCTTCAGCAGCTCTTCGTGCTCGAGGTCAGCGACTACGGTAGTAGCTGGAGGCGAGCCTTGCTCAGGTGAGTCGAGTCGCGCTGATTATTTATTATATGTACACGCGCGCCAAAAGCTCGCGCGCAAGCTCGAGTCATCCTGCGCCGCGCGAAAGCTCGAAAAATGCAGCGAAAATAGCTATCGCCTTTATACTCGCATATAATATATCTGGGTATATATATCATTGAGTGACCACGTGTCTCGTGCACGAAGCAGAAGCGGCAGATGGTCATGCGCGCACACGCGGCATAATATACACTTACTTACGCACACAGACACACGAGGCAGCGCTGCTGCAAAAACGCCCGCGCGAGCTTGCGTCGAGTCGTTGTTGTTTTGGGGCGAGCGATAGTTAGTGGTAGTAGTCGATGTCTGGCTACGCGCTCAGCTTCCGATTGCTCGTGCTGTAGGATAATAAAATAAAATAATGTGATTCGATATCGAGCGAGAGAGAAAGAAAGAGACAGATTCGCTTTTTATTTTCTTGTTATCGTTTTTCGGACCGAAAAAATGGACAAGCTTCAACGCAAGCTCCGCCAGAGCCACCCGGAGCACAACTACTCGCTGTACGTAAATATATTTATTACCCTATTATTATATCGTTTGTATGCATAATATATACATAATGCATGCAGTACGCGACGCATTGTCGTATCGCTCGATTCGATCTCGATTGTTCTCGTTCTTTTTTTTTTCTTCATTATCGCGTCCTTGCCTCTTTTTCCACGTACAACATTATTAAAACTCCTTAAACTCGTGCTTTTAGCATCGTTATAACACGGATCGTAAATATCGCGCATAAATACATATCCGTCTCTCTTTTGTGTCGTTTCGCGCGAAGAACAAAGTCTCTCCCGAGGCGTTATAGTCGTAATTTCTCGCATCGATTGCGCGCTAGCAATAATAATAATAATAGTAATAATAACAACGACGAGCGTCGTTAAAAAAACTGCCCGAACGAAATGAAAGAGCTGCAGCCAAGAGACGATACAGCAGTGGTCCGAGCTTGCAACTCACACCTTTAATAGTCGCACGCGCGATAGAAAATATATATATCCGCGAGAGCTAATTATAGGCATCGAGCGCGCAGTTTCGGTGCGTCGGCGGTTTTTCACGCTCGTCTATTTAAATATACTACCGCAAGCGTTGTGTACTATATAAATGCAGTGCGCACCGATAAACTTTTATCGTCGCTTTTAAATTTCGAATATTCGGAGCGCATTCGATGGAAGATTTATGTATTCGCGTAGCAGGCGTTTTTCAATCGGCTGCTACTGCTGCTGCTGCTGTTGTGTCGCTATTTTTGGCGAGATATCTGGTAGTAACTTTTCTTTATCGCTCTCAATTTTTTTTTCTTCTTTTTTCGTCGATAAAATTATTTCTTGCCCATTTCGGCGACCCAAGTCCCATCCGGGGCAATTATGCAATTCTATAGGGGGGAGATTCGAGACGCGACGACGATGCGTCACGAATGTCGAATCGAAATACTCGCGAATTACGATTTTGCGTTTATGCCAATGATATCGCGCGCGTATATATGTAAAATCGTTCAACCGTAAAAACCGGCGGTTTTTCTTCTTTTCGCCGAGGCATTCGAGAGAAAAACAAATCGCGAGTAATCGAGTTATTTTGCGACCGATTATGCGATTGTCGTTATATGACTCGGTGCTAGAAATGAGAAATCATTTGCATCGATATGATCGCTTACAGTCCATTTCCTCACATAACGTAAGGTATTTATAATATAAAAATAACAATGATGTTGGGGACGTTGTGATCAACAATTTTTACGATATACTTATTGCTCGCTTTCATTAATTTGCGAGTGCGATAAAGAAGCTTAAACCTCGATTATGATAGATCGATTTCGTTATCGATGTACGTTTGTTACACTTTTATTTGTGATTAATATCGAATCTTTCTTTTTTCCCCGGCGGGTTGAATTAAATCCGAATTTGCTGGTTTTTTTCTTCTACGCGGACGAGGATTCGATAGCGATAAATTGACGTATTAAAATTCCCCCTTCGCGACGAATGATTCGCAGCAATTGAGTAACTCTTTTCAATGAAAACATGTAATGATCGAAAGCGCAGACTTTTTTCCATTTCTAAATAATCGTGATATAATGGCTCGTATAATATCGTCCACATTTATGATGTTACTACTGCCGTAGACCCCAAAAAATAGAAAAGTCTCAGAGCACGCGTAATTATAGTAATCGATTCTCTTAAAACCCGCTCAGTGGGACTTTCTTTTTGCTGCTCTCTGGGCCTCTATGCTATTTTCCATATCCCGTGACTCGAAAGTAACATTTTCGAGGCCCGGGAAAAGTCTAATTTCTAATTCTAATCTAAATTTGAGCTTTGGGACTCTTCTTTCAAGGCCCGGATAGCTCAGTCGGTAGAGCATCAGACTTTTAATCTGAGGGTCCAGGGTTCAAGTCCCTGTTCGGGCGATTTTTTTTTACTTTTTTTAAGATATCAACTCACGCGTGTATACAGTGTCAGAATTCTTGTTTTGACACTGAACTTTCTGTCGTTAAAAAGATATATAAGCGGTTTCATTTCGCGCGATTCGATGCCGTGAAAAACGAATAAAAATGATGTAGGAGTCCCCCGGCGATAAGTGTGAATTCTCGAGAGTAAACGAAGGCTGCAGCGAGGCAATATAAATCGTTGGATGTCGTTGTCGAACGTATGCACTATATTATTAAGAACGATGATTTCATTACACGTGGTCAAATGGGAATAAAAAGGATTGTCCCTATGTTAAATATAAATAGAGTCAACAAATTTTTCGATATATTATCTAAAATAAAATTATTTTCATTCTTTACATATTTTCAACAACAATCGGCCAAGTTTTTAAAGCATCGTTCAAAGCGGATTCACAAAAGACACGTTGCGCGCACCTATAATAACGATATAACGATCGTTAACGTACATCATAATAGCGATCGAGAACACTACACAATCGTGCCCCACCGGCTCGTTATTAAAAGTTTAAAATATATACGTTGAAAAATGTACATTATTATCGATCTTCTAAGCGCGAGATCCCGGAGGGACCTCGGCGCGCATCACGTAATAATTGTACATGTACGCACACAAGGCCGTCCAGGCGCGATCGGCTCGTTAATATAAAACTCGTGTTATATATATATATATACGTTAATGTGGACACAAGATGCTGCGTTTTGCTGTGTGTGTGTCCAGCTGCCAGCCTCGTAATAATTATTATCATCGTGTGTACACTGTCTTACGTTACACATATACATATTATGCACGGAAAACCGTGGGTCGGAGTACATATTTATACGGAGCTCAACCGATTCTTATTAATATACCTATATACACAAGTATATATGTACTGGAGGCAGTGGCAACTCTATACTAATGTTAATACTCGCTGCTGTGCGCCGCGCCGAGACAACGACGGGCAAACGGCGAGGAGCGAATCGTCAGTCGTTCCTCGACGATCGCCGGCTTCGCGAGGCACACGGCACACGTTGTATACCGCTTAAATTCTCTCGCCGCTGCTGCATGTGTCCCGTTCGATAAGTGCGCCGCTCGCCCGTATATGAGAAGGATGTGATATATAATATGGTCTCTCGCAGTGGTGGTCAGTAGCGGTTGATCCTTTGCGGCCGAAAGAATATTTTTACTCCGAATATCGAGTGCATTTACTCGCGACCGTACATGACATATATAATATAGAGTGCAACTTATTATTTACCGTTATAAAATATATAGACCATCTCGTGCGTGTGCATGTGAGTGTGCGTACTTGTGTGTCGCGTTCAAGCTGTCGCAGAATCTCCATTCAACTACTTACGTAATTATGGTATTTTGCGTTAAAACATCGTAACGCCGCATGATTGTTCCTTTTGCATCCAAGAGCAGCAGCAATATAATCCAATAATTGACGCCTCGAGCTCGAGGCTCGCCGAGCTTCGTTAAGGTGAGTCGGCGTATGTAAAATAGTATATTCGTCACGATTCCGCGCATCGATAACATCGCAATTTCGGTGGCTTAAAATCTCTTATCGCTATATAGAGAGAACAATTGTTCGGTGTGTGATATAATACGTATATTATTACGTGTAGTCACGTTATGTACGCGACACTTGTATATATAGGTGAATACAGTTCGGCACTGATGCTGCTGCTGACCTGATTGTATTCGCTATATTACGATTGACGAGTTTTATCGAACTGGTCGATTTTCAATTTTTTTACTGCGCCGAAAACGGTTATAATGCGCAATTGCGACTTTAAAGCGCGACTGTGTGCTTTGTACTCGTTCTCACACGTTTGTATACAATGCATCTTTTGTCGTACAGTCCGATTTTGAACGAATTATCGATTTTTCTCTTCTTTTTTGACCGTGCGACACGGATATTTACATATGTCGCGCGTGGTTATAAAGAACACGTGTGGGGGTGTGTGTGTGTGGGTCACTGTATCCGCATCTAAACATTTTCAGCCGAGATTCGACTTCAATTTTCTATATCGAGAATAAAAATACTCTCCGACACTTGCCATAGTTCTCAATGGAATTTCAATCGCTCGTTTAATATACACGAGCTATGTGTGTTGTATATGTTGAAAGCCGACATAATGTTATATAAATATACATATTAATGAATCTATTTATAAGCGCAAGCCTTAACTTAGAAAACCATTTTTATTTATTTCCCCGCGTCAAACTACTTTTTAACGCCGCCTTCTTTACTCGTTTCTAATGCGCGTCCGATGATTAATTTTTCGACCTACTACGGAAATTAAATAAACGAGGTATTTTAAACGAAATCGCGCGGCTACATCATCGATCTCGGATAACCATCGTTCGTATATTATTATCTTCCGATCCGCGCCGAAAGCCTCTCTAATCGGCGATAATTAGCCGCACGCGCGATATACATTCGACACTCGAAAAAAATGTCAAAATCGCCGAGCCGCGTCAAAATTTAAAAACCCGCGTATTGGCGCGTGAGTAGGTGTGCATAGTCGGTATACCATTCATACAGCGACTCGACTCTGACACATGCTCGATAATATGCTCCTTATGTCACGTATGTTTTTCACGATAGCTGGAAAAAAACTCGTCTAGCTTATATTGTTATTAGTCATTTTTTTTATTGCTACTTGTAAGGCCGCGGAGATTAAAATTCAATCGCCTCACGCCCTGTATAAACGAATCTCTCAGAATTTCCGCGCGTACTCTCTCTCTCTCTCTCTCCCGTGCACTCAACGAACGTAAAATTCAATTCACCATATGGAAAATCTCCGTCTCGCGGCGAGAAGAGATTGCGCGTTACGGAGAAGGTTCTCTCGGCCGAGAGGCCATTATATGTGTGTGTGTGTGTGTGTGTGTATACTCCGTGCAGTCGCTTTTCCCCGACTCGTCTTGTTTTTCCGTGGCGGCGACCGCATTCCACGAGACTGCACCGTACTTATAATATACACGGCGTACACCATCGAGTGGCCGTCTTTATAATGTATACGCGGCGCAGTAGTTAGTCGCGGTAAATCTCGCATATTACTTATATTTGCAGGCTTCAAGCTCTTGCTCGTTTGTATATGCAGAATCGTCGGGTCAAGCGTTTTGATTTATTATTGTGATGAAATTAAATAATTTGATAGACGCATAAAGGAAATTTCATGATATTGAATTTTTATTTTGATTAGAAATGCAATAGTAACATTACGTTTTCAAGTTAAAGTCATTAACAGAAAAATATCAGTCAAATTAGTACATGAAAAAATATACAACTTTATGAATTATTTCGGCAGAACTTGCGCCATTCCGAGAATTATGCTACTTATATCATCGGAATTCAAAGGTCTGATAATCTGGAATTTTATGAAATCGGCAGCTTTTTTGCGCAAATATTTTGCATTATGCTTATCAGCAACTCTTAGAATGTCTACTGCATTTTCAGTCGATAAATTGGAGCCTATCATTTGTTCGCACTCACTTTTCAATTCTTCAAGTTGATATTTGTCAGCGGCTGCCAAAACATCCATTGCCAAAGATGATTCTTGTTTTTCAACGCTACCAGTGTAGATGTATCGCAGCATCTCAACTGCAGTCTCGTAACTGACATCCGTCATGTCGACCGATTTGCTTTTCTTTTCCAACATGTCGTGGCTGAACATGGCATCGAATACAGGACTGGCAACAGCGAGCACGACTTTATGAGCTGGGATTTCCTTTCCACAGTCGGTTCGCAGCTTCACGTCGCTCAAATCGTCACTGAGAAATAATCGGTCGAATTTCAGTTTGAATACCTCGCAATTAGTTTTGACGGATTCGTAGTTTATTATGTTTTTTAGTGGTCCCACGGAGACTGATAATTCGCAGCGAAAAATTACGGTGCCGGTGGACGAAATGAACTTGTGCATATCGCGATTGGTAATCTCGAAAATGGTCAAATACTCATTCTCGTCTAAAATTTCAGAAGCTACCGAAATATAGGCAGTTATGTCATCCTTAATAATTGACAGCTTCACAGATAAAGGTAAAGATTCCGTGGCCTTTATGCAAGCCAATTCTAACTTTATGCCAACGCTGCCCTCTTCGTTATCAATTTCAACGTCATCAGTTTCAACGTCATCACTTTCAGTTATCATTAAGGCAAACTGTTTTTGATCATCTTGACCGACATTGAATGTAGGCGATATTATTTGTTGATCATTTGCCTCTTGGCAAACCAATGTATAATCATTTATTATCCACGTAAAAACACAATCTTCTTTATCGGCTTGCGTATAGGCCGTGATTTTATTGGCACTTGACATTTTACACTTGAGTCTCGATCTGTTATCACACGCACTGTTCGCTTACAATCGGAGCCACAAAAGAAGAAATTGCAGCAATTATTAGGCAATGTATGATCACTACGACTGTTACATGCGTTCGAAAAATGAAAGGATCGTTTTATTTCTTAAAATCAATTAAATACGAATATTGATATCGAGTGTTTAGGCTACGCAGCACTATTTATCAACGTACACGACGACGGCCAACTGTCGCGAATTTCGCCTCCCGAATTGCCCATTAGAAGAGTCGCTTAGCGGAGAATTCAAAAACTGTCCCATCGATATCCCTACCCCCACAACATATAATCCTTGTGTGTAAACAATGAGAAAGATGTTGATAATTATTCACGTTCTTATAGTTCTCTGTTCGAAAACCCGATTTAAGAGTTTACACTTGCCCCTAACTTCGTCAAGTCAAAGATGGTATACTTATGATTGCATAAAATGAAGTAAAATAATGTCATGAATGGGTAAAAATAACGTGGAAAATGGGTATAAAAAATTTAGATTATGCTGAATTTTTATTTTAATCAGAATTACAATAGTAATATTACTCTTTCAAAATGAATCGTGTCTTACCAAGAATCATATCACTTATCTCATCGTGATCCAATAATTCGTTTACATTACGTTTGATAAAATCGACTGCTTCCTTTTTCAAATGTTTCGCGTTGTACGCATCGGCAATTTGAAGCGCCTCGATAGCATTTTCAGCAGTTAAATTCTCGCACAATACGTTCTCGCATTTATTTCTCAATTCTTCGAGCTGATACTTGTCGGCGGCCGCCAACAGCTCTGCGGTCGCGGTAAATTCTCGAGTCTCGACGCTGCCTCGGTAGATGTAACGCAGCATCTCGACAGCGGCTACGTGACTGACATCCACGACATCGACCGATTGGCATTTGTTTTCCAGTGTATCGCGACGGATGAACATGGCTTTGAATACGGGACTCGCAGCAGCGAGCACGACTTTATGAGCTGGGATTTCCTTTCCCGACGCCGTCAGTAGCTTGACGTCGCTCAAACCTTCGTCGAGAAATATCCAGTCGAAATTAAATTTCGGCCCCAAGCCTTTGTTCGCATCGAGAGACTCGCAGAACTCCGTCGAGTTTTCCGTCTTTTCCGCGTCGAATTTTAATTCGCAACGAGCACTCATACCACCCTTGATTCGAAACCACACATTCATCAGCTTTGAGCACACTTCGAAAGTCTGATTTTCACTGTAGTTCTTAGATACTTTGGTGTAGTTTGCGCAGTATCTGAATGGTAATTTCAGAGTAACGCAGCTACCAATTAAACGCCAAGCTTCTTCGTACTTGAGTGGGTATTTGAAATAATCCAGAACTTTGCATCTGCGGAGTGCCATCATTATTGACATAAAATTTGGACGAATAAATCGTGTTTGCTTCACTTTTCGACGTAGACAAGAATTTTTCTAATATTACTCATATAAAAAGGTTGCCCTTCACACTACATTGCTATATCGTCTATTAAATGGACGAACGACACTTCACATTCCGAGAAAAACTTTGAAAAGATTCATTTATTTCTCGAGTCGTTCAAGATTTTGAGCACGCACGCACAATATTTTGAGCAGTAGATATTATGTGGCCACGACGATCCGCAGACTGACCAACAACAGACTTATTGCCTCTGCACCGATCATTGCAGAAGTCAAGACTCGTAAGTCGCTTCGCATGCGTTCATGATCGAAAGGATTCCTTTGTTCGAATCGAATGTCCGTGTCGGCGGCGACTCGCAAGACTCGAGTTACAAGTTGCGACTGTTACGAGCAGGGCCGCTGGATAATTTGAAAAGTCAGCGCTAAAATCAGACGAGAGACATTTTGATTTCTCGGCCATCGACTCTTTTTACACGCACATTGGTTCATTATCCGCATATTGGCAGCCGCACACGGTTACATACGGAAGAATTTATTTGTTTCGGAGGTGTATATAATTTCGAAATAAGATAAGCCACGCTGCAGTGAGAGAGACAAAGAGAAAAAAGACTTGAACCATGAGTCATGAGTGCGTGACAGTGGAGGGCGATATGCGATAATTTTAATGCTTTAACTATATTGCATTGTTGTTTATTTGGAAGAGTATTCTTATATGCATTATGATTTGTTAAAAATATATGAAAAAATGGTACAAAACTATTTGTCTCATCAGCAGCTTGTTCTCCCTCTCTTTGTTTCTACCGTCCGTCCATCTCTTTTCGTAGAATAGCGTCGTGATGCATATATCGGAATATTACCTCCACGCAAAACATCGATATATCATTGGCTGAATATAGTAAATAATTACACTTGTGACATATCAATGAAATGAATAATAAAATGAATGGTAAAATAAATTACAATATTTTATTTTGATCATAAGAACGATACATCATTTTTTCAAATACAAGAGAGTAAAATATAATCAAATAACGATTAAACCATGAAAATATATAAAAAGCAGTTTTAAGATCATTTAAGAAAAAAATCGTTCCATACTCAGAATCATGTCGCCCACATCGTCGGAGTCCGAAGATCGGTGGATGTGCAGTTTCATAAATTCAATTGCGTTCTCTTTCAATTTTTTCATTCTACATTTATCGGCAGCTTTCAGAATATCTATGGCGTTTTTAGTAGATAATTTGCTGCTCAATATTTCTTCGCACTTTCTTTGCAACCCTTCGAGTTGATATTTGTCAGCGGCCACTAGAAGATCAATAATGAAAGAAACTTCTTCATTTTCGATACTACCAATGTAGATGAATCGCAGCATCTCAACTGCTGTCTCATAACTAATATCAGTCATATTAACCGATTGACTTTTGTTTTCCAACATATCATGGCTGAACATGGCTTTGAACACAGGACTAGCAGCAGCGAGCACGACCCTATGCGCTGGGATATTCTTTCCAGATGCAGTTTGTAACTTTACATCACTCAAACTTTTATCAAGAAATACCCAGTCGAATTCCAGTTTCGGTATCGTTACCTTAGTGTCATTGACTATTGATCTAGAGTCTAGAATCGTTGTTACATTTCCCCTCGATAATTGTAATTCACATCGAATAGTTGCAGTATCCGATCTACTGCAGTAGATAGCCTGATTATCATCACACACCAATGTAGCAGTAGATTCTTTATTTGCTTTAAAAATTACAAGACCACCTATAGGAAAGATCTCTCCAGTTATTCCAGTAACTGATGTCCTATAGTCACATTTTAATTGATTCACTGGGTTTTTGCAGTGTAAATATATATTTCTTACCAACAAAGTAACACTACGTTTATGAACTTCATTTACCAATCTGAAATAAAATTTTACACCACTTTTGGTATTAAATATCGGTGATGTTAGATCTGCACCTAGTTCCCGTGGGAAATATCGTAAACTTCCTACTTTCCAAGTGAATTCGTATTTTTCTTCATCAAATAGCGTATACCCAGTAACTTTATTTACGCTCGACATTTTATACTTTTGTAAAATCTCAGAAAGATTTATTCTCGTGGTTTCTAAAGTCGCTTCGCACTTTTGTCACACGCACTGACTTTTGAACGATCCGGACACAACACTCTACGAACAACGACTGTAATGTTGTATCGAACGTTGCTTGCACAAGTTAAAGGTATCGCCATAAATGCGTTCTAAAAGTGAGGCCAAAAAGATTCTTCGTTCCAATTGTCGGCGCAGCGACTCACGAGACCCTAGTGGCGCTGTGAGCGTCGCTGAACGAAAACTTATAGTTACACGATCGATTCAAATATTAGTTTCTTCAGATTTATTTGGAAGAAGGCATTATTGATAGTACATTATAACACAAAAGCATGAAATATTATCAACATCGAGTTTTATTCTAAAAAGTAAAAAATAAATTCAATGTGAAAGCACCGACAGTCGCACGAGACACAAGTTTCAAGTCGCGACACTATGGATTCCCATTTACCTACATAAAGTTTTTGTTTTTGAAGAAGAATGTTTATAATATAATATTATATATCGTACGAAATATATAGGAAAATGGCGCAGAACTATGGAAACCCGGCTTCGTTTGCATTATCTATAATATTGTAAAGACAGTTCCCTAATGTAGGAGCGATTCATTGGACGAGATCTGTAGTTTTGAAAAAAAGATCCGATGCGCCCAATCCCAAATGCATAGATCGGAATACATAACGTACATATCTAGGGATATATAGTAATTACACTAACTTGTGGCGTATCGTTAGATAATAAAATGAATATTGAAGTGAACGGGTAAAATGAATTACAATCATACTTTATTTTAATGATAAGTATTATAACATCGTTTATTCAAATGCAAGAAAATATAACAAATAATTAAGGAACGATTAATACATGAAAATGTATACAAAGCGGTTTTAAAATCATTTTGAAAAGAATTTTTCCATACCAAGAATGATATTTTTCATATCATCAGAGTCTGAAGATTCGCTACTATGGCATTTCACAAAATTGACTATTTTTTTTTCCAGGAATTTAGCGTTGTACTTATCGGCAACTTTTAAAATATCTATTGCATTCTCAGTAGATAAATTGCTGTTCAATATTTCTTCGCACACGTTTTTCAAATTTTCGAGTTCATACTTGTCGGCGGCCGCCAAAAGTTCAATAATCAAGGGAATTTCGTCATTTTCGACACTGCCCGTGTAGATGTATCTCACCATTTCAACCGCAACTTCATAACTAATATCTGTCATACTTACCATTTGGCTTTTCTTTTCCAACATATTATGGCTGAACATGGCTTTGAATACGGGACTTGCAACAGCGAGTATGACTTTATGCGCTGGGATTTCCTTTCCACACGCACTTTGTAGTTTAAGATCGCTTAAATTTTCATTGAGAAACAGCCAGTCGAATTGTGAATTTTGTACTGCTTCTTTCATTCCACTGGATATTAATTTGGGGTCTAAAAATGATGTTACATTTCCCCTCGACAATTGTAGGTGGCATACAATTGTAACGTTCGGAGAGGAACCAATTCCCTCGGGCAATCCATTATTTAGTATTTCAATGGTCCGATTTGTACTTGGTTCAAGAACAGTCCGTATAGGGAAATGCACTAAATCATGTGGTTTTTCATTAATGATAACTGATATCTTGCAGTAAGATATAACCTGCTTTCTTATGTTTTCGCAAAATAGTAGTAATTTTTCATAATTGTAAGTACCAGACCTTCCAGAAAACGATGAATCGGCCAATTGTAGATAAAATTGTT